GGGATTTAAATCCCATCCAGTCCCACCCCTGCCACGGGCAGGGACACCTCCCGCTATCCCAGGGAATCCAACCCGGCCTTGGACACTCCCAGGGATCCAGGGGCAGCCACACTTCTCTGGGAATTCCAGCCCAGCCCCTCCCCACCCTCCCAGCCAGGAATCCCTTCCCAATCTCCCCCCCACATCTCCCCTTTCCCACTGGGATCCATTCCCTGGGTCCTGTCCCTCCATCCCTTGTCCCCAGTCCCTCTCCAGCTCTCCCAGAGCCCCTTTAGGCCCTGGAAGGGGCTCCAAGCTCTCCCTGGAGCTCAGTGTTTTCCTTTAATCCCTTGGAGCTGCATCCCACAGGATTTATCTTCCGAGAATCTGAGAAACCCAGTCTGGAGCCATCCCAGCTCCATGGAACCACAGAATTCCAGCCTGGTTTGGATGGGAAGGGACCTCAAATCCCATCCCGCTCCATGGGCAGGGACACCTCCCACCAGCCCAGGTTGTTCCAACCTGGCCTTGGACACTCCCAGGGATCCAGGGGCAGCCACAGCTTCTCTGGGCAACCTGTGCCAGGGCCTCTCCACCTTCACAGGGAAGGATTCCTTCCCCATCTCCCACCTCTCCCTGCCCTCTGGCAGTGGGATCCATTCCCTGTGTCCTGTCCCTGCAGCCCTTGTCCCCAGTCCCTCTCCAGCTCTCCTGGAGCCCCTTTAGGCTCTGGAAGGGGCTCCAAGCTCTCCCTGGATCCTTCTCTTCCCCAGCTGAGCACCCCCAGCTCTCCCAGCCTGGCTCCAGAGCAGAGGGAGGCAGAAGGAGCAGGGAAGGAAAAGAATGTAAAGGGGAGAAGGGAAAGAAATCCAAGTCCAGAGAGGCCTCCTCTGGCCTCATTCCCGCAGCCCCAGAGCTGGATGCAGCCCTCCAGGCGGGAGCAGAATCCCAGAATCCCGGGTCGCTGCTGCAGAGAGGGGACTTCCCACTTACTTGGGTTTCTCCAGGGGGTCGGGCTCGTTCCGAGCCAGCCCGGCGGGGGATTTCTCGGCCTCCTCGGCCGTCAGGAGGTGCAGCTCAGCCTCCACTTTGCCCTGCAGGGAGCACAGAGCCCTGCTGGGGCCTGGCACACGTGCTGGGGCCTGGCACACGTGCTGGGGCCTGGCACACGCGCTGGGGCCTGGCACACGTGCTGGGGCCTGGCACACGTGCTGGGGCCTGGCACACGCGCTGGGGCCTGGCACACGTGCTGGGGCCTGGCACACGTGCTGGGGCCTGGCACACG